ATGACTTAACCCCCTCCCAGCCCCCCCCCCAACTTGTGGCATGCGCTTGTTACCGGCTCCGGTTTCATTTATGTCGGGGTTTTAAGGTTTGGTTTTTTTTAATTGAGTGCTTCCTTCAGGAAGACCAGAGTATATCATCATTATCCTCACAGAAAATATGGAGTTTCATGTTATTCAGTGCACTTTGGGGACTCTCAAGATCTTGTTTTTCACTCACACACACCACTCAAACTTTTAATGAGTTGCCAATTAACATTTCTGCAGAATAGAAATAATCTATTCATGCAGTGGCTTTGCTAGCTAACGAGATTTTAGAGATTTTATGAACTGGTGTTTTCCCAGCTGCAGAACACAAAAGTGTTCACAGATGCTAACCAAATGGCCTAATCTGAGGATATTTTATTGCCTAATTGATGTTTTTAGGAGCACTTTCCTGATACATTTTTCCTCTTTATATTTTATGACTGTGCTTACATTTGATTTTTTTGTATGTGCTGAATAGGAATTAACAAGTAAAGGAGAACATTTCAAAACCTGAAAATAGCCATCAGCATAAATTAGGGAGGATTGTTCTCACAGCTACCTGAAAAGGCTTGTAAAAGCATTCTCTCTGCAGCAGCGTTTCAAAGTCTTCTTTGCCTTGTCCTTCACTATTGGCTGTAAGAGGAAAAAACTGTGTCTTCTAGAACATATTTGTATTAGCTTTTCTTTGGTCAGTGTCAGCCCTTCCAAGGTTTGTTATTCGGACAGCAAACTGATAACTGGTCAGGTATTGCTCCACAGCAAGCACCTGTTTTCAGCAAGCACTTTAACAAGGTGGCTCCAGTGTAATTTTCAGATACTGTAGTTCGCCAGTTTCTGGATGGTCAATCTATATTACTGTTTGCCATACACTTTACTTGTGAGTTACTCAGAAACCTGAGGACTTTACAAAGATGCCCTGGAAACCATGTGCAGAGGTGTTTGATGAGCTAGTTCTTGGCTAGTTCTGGCTCTAAGCACCAGGAGGGTCAGGCATCAAGTTGTGGTACTGGTATAAAGATGAACGCTGGCTTTCAGCTGGGCCAGGACATTATTTTATTCCCTCTGTGGAGCAGGACTTATCTAAGCCAGGATATGCCGGTGGTGGGTTGGCCTTGGCTGGCTACTAGGGGCCAACCAAGCTGCTCTATCCCTCCCCCTCCTCAGCAGAAGAGGGGGAGAAGATAAGATTAAAAACTCATGGGTCGAGATAAATGCAGTTTAATGAAAACAAAAAAGCAAAGACAGTGCTCAGAAGCAAAGGAAAGCAAAAAGATTTATGCTCTACTTGTCATCAGCAGGCAACCTCCAGCCGCTTCCTGAGAAGTGGGGCCTCAGTATGTGTAGCCGTTGCTTTAGAAGACAAACACCTTAATAACAAATGCCCCACCTCACTTCTCTTAGCTTTTATTGCTGAGCATGACATCATATGATACGGAATATCCCTTTGGTAAGTTTGGGTCAGCTGTCCTGGCTATGTCCCCTCCCAACCTCTTGCCCGCCCCACCCCGCTGGCCTTTGTGGAGAGTATTGGAGAGACAGCCCTGATGCTGTGTGAGCACTGATCAGAAATATTCCAGACACTGGGATGGTATCCTAACCCTTCTAGCTACAAACACAAAGCACAGGACTGCAGTGACGAATGTTAACTCCATCACAGCCAGACCAAATACAGTGCCACAACTCTTGGGTGCCTGCTGTGTACTTTTTGTAAGCAGCTAATCTAGATCCAGAAGAAAGCAGCTAGATAATTACATGCAGTAATTACATCCTGGCCTCTCCCACACTTGTTCTCAGCTTAGTTTGGTGTTTGAAGGTAGCAAATCCCTGCCTTCTGTGTGTCTTTTGCTTTCTAAAAGCTTTCAAGGTTTTGCACAAAAATAAAGCATGGAAATGCACCAAGAAAAAATAAAGCTGTTAAAATGTAAAGGAACTCGGTATACAGAGAACAAAAAACTCAAGTAGCAGAGAAGAACGCTGTTAACCTGGAAGATGCAATGCCAGCAATCTAAGAATTGATCACAGTCACTTTTCTTTATGGAAGAGGTCTCATCTGTTACAGTGTTGGTTCAGTAGTATCTCCTGTTTTCCAGAAACCCTTCAAGCCAAATGGAGAAAAAGGACTGCACAGTAATGTTGTGTTCATATCCATGAGATCCTTGAGGAAACCATATATCTTACCAGGAAGTTTAAACCTTCACTCACTGGATGCAGATCTCCAGAAGAAAGACTTCTCTAAGTAGATGTTTCTCTCCAGGTGAACTCAGAGTGGTGTTTTTTATTGGTGCCTTATCTTTGGGTCATGAACAAGAATGCATTAGGGCAATTGTAAAGTGTCAAGTGGAAAAGACAGCCAGTGTTAGAAAAGCAAACTGGAAGTAGTTTAAAGGAGAAAGAGTAAATTAATGATCAGAAGAAATCAAAACCTTTATCTCTATGGGTACAACTATCCACTTGTGAAGGGATTCATAAAATTGTCTAGGTATCCTAGACTATAAAAGCATCCAGTTGCTGCTAACAACATGGGCTATCCCAGTATTTTTATTTCTGAAAATAATCTCTCTGCTGCAGTCTAGCCTCACACTCACAGGTAACAATTAAACCAACTCAGGGCATCAGCCAGAGTATAAAAAAAACAATAAATATGGAAGCAGGTGCCAAAAAAAAAAAAAAGCTATTGCAAGTTGATGGATGATATGTGCTTATTCTGAGATGCTGTAATAATACAGTCTGGGGAGGGATAAGCAGAGTAGACACTGGATGGGTACACCAGCAGGAAGTGCAGTAGTGCAGATGTGAGCAGGGATGACACAGTTCTGCACTGTAAAGGCAGGCTGCTTTCATCTCTTTAGTTTTTGTCCAGCAGGTGTCATCTGAGAAGCACCTGATAGCAACTAAAGGCATAGCTTTTGCATTTTTGCTTTCTAGAAACCAACAGCAAGTTGGTTTTACTTTTACTGTTTAAAGGTAACATAGCCTGCACTTAGCCCTTCAGCTGTCTCTATCCCTCTTTACAGAATGATCTGATCTGGCCCCACACTGGTGCCATCAGCTCCCTTTCATTTGATGAGGACAGAGAGTGGTCATCACTTCTCCCTGTGAGACCTGTCCTGGAGTGCTAGCAGGCCTGACACCCTCGACCCACAAAGGTTTGTTGCTCTGCAGCTGCAACTCAGTGTCAGTGTCCCCCCGTACCTTGTCCTGCCAGTGCCTAACTTGACCCAGAAGTCAAGGAGCTCCAGACTAGGCAGTGACAGTATAGAGGATGCCTTTTCTGTTTCCCAGATGAGTACCTATTCCACTTACCCTAAATAATTTTTGCATAAAGCTATGGATTAGGTAGAAGGAACTTTTCATGGTGGCCTGATGGCATGGAATGGTAGCTTGGCTTTCACTTTTTGTTCTGTGCAGAACATCTCCAAAGAAACTAAAAGCACCAGATGTAGAAAGAGGCCTGGAGCCAGCAGCTTAGTTTTAGTAAACGTTTGTAGGAGAATGTAGATGGTAGGAATAAAAAAAAACCTGAACAGTATTCATAATGTCCACAGAAATAATATTCATAATGTCCATAGAAATATCTGCTCATCTAAACTACTATTTCTATTCCTTTTCCTTCTGTAAAACACAGCCTATATCTTTCAAGAAAATAAACTTGCATTTGAACCCTGATTGGAGTCTAGATTTCACACTAAAAGTAAAGTGGAAGACCAAAAGGGAAGTGAAAGAACCTGGACAAATCCACATGACAAATGCAAGGGTCCCAAATGAACAGGAACATGCCATTTTAGTGTTCTTTACTCTCTCCTGATTTCTAACTGTGTAAATGACAACTGAATCTTATCACTTAATAATTCATCACAATCCTTCTTTTTTTCCTCCAATTCTTTCCTTTGTTTTTTCAGTCTTTAGAATTTCCTCATGTATTTTCACATCGTCTCCCATTCTTGGATCTTCTGTAATTCTCCCCTAGTTCATCTTCCTTTCCTGTTATAAAAGGAAAAAGAAAATGTTTCCCGCAATTGTACTTGAAACAAACAAACAAAAAGATAGCAGGCCTGCCAATAAAACACAAATGTTTCCTAATGTGTTACTTAAGCCTCAAAGGTTTTCTGAATGTGATGAAGGTGATAGTCCTAAGTTCAAGTCCCAGTCTTCCAAAATACCTTTCTTCTTAGATCTGGCAAGCAGAGGACAGAAATGTGCTCTGGCAAAATTACAGAAAGTTTTAGGCTTGGCCAATCCTCAACACAGCAAAAAGTTGGATGTTTTCCCTAGTACACATTTGTATATTCAATCAACAACCTTAGCAGCTGCCTGAGTTTGAAACTGGCACACTGCATAGGTCACACTACTGACAGCATCCGTCACGCTGGGGCTTCAAGACCTTACTCAGCAGCTGTCTCTGCCACTTCTTTTTCATCGTGTTTTTAATTTATCAGCTCCTATGCTACTTTTCTGTAACAGGTTATTAATGCAGCCAAATGGGATGAACTTTCTTACGCATTCCCTTTCATTGGCCTTTTCTGTGACTTCTGCAAAAAACTGGCTGCCTGCTTTGGGCTGTCAGGAACTTTTCTTCCTCCTGTCACCTAAAAGCCGAGATTCTACTAACTCAAGCCACTCTCAGCAGTACTCCAAAAACCTCAAATAAGGTAGAGGCAGATAAATGAGAATGCATTACCAACATAATGAAGGTTCTCTAAGCAAGCGTGCCCTGCAGAAAAGAGAGGGGTCCCTAGGTGCATGAGGGAAATGGCTGGCTGACAAAGGTGACCAGTAGAGTGATTAAACTAGTAATCAAAATTAAATTTTTAATCAGAATAAAAAGCTAGCTTTTTGAATGTTGTGCTTCTCCATTTTCTATTTGTAGTTTCTATAAGTCCTTATGCTTAAGCAGCTAACTGAGCATGTGTGCAACTGTAACTCCACAAACCAGTGCAGCAACACATGTATGTCAGTCACAGTCACAATTTTTGCCTCCGTTATTCTGGATATATGGCTGCAACATGCAACACACTCACTGCCAGTTAACATGGAAGCAAGTCTTTGTAGTTTAAAAAGGGAAAATATGAACAAAAAGTACATTTGCAGAGAAAGAATCATGTTGTCCAAATTCAGATTCAAAAACAAACTTGAAGTGGTGATTACAATTACTATTTTCATGGCTACCATAACACTACCCCAGTTTCACAGATTGTTCCAGATTTTGGTAGCACTGAGTTAAACATTGTGGGTTTCACAGATCGACTCTTGCAATGAAAACTAGCAGTTGGCTAGCAGGTTTTATTCACATTCACTGAGTATTCTTTGCCCAACACCCATTTATCAAAGGGAAACACCTTCCAGACCATATTAAACACTGCCTTTAACTTCACACCTGGCCTCAGAACAGTTTGCTGTAAAACACAACAATATCTGTGCAAGAATATACCTGTCTGTGCCAATATTAAGTCAAAAAGTGTTCAGGCAACAGATGCAGTAAAATTTTGTGGGTGTAAGATAGGATCTTTTAGCGGGAAGTATATGGGCAAGACCCTCAACACATTCTCCTGTTCCCTGGAATTTCATGGTCTCATGTGGAGTATACAGTCTCCAAGTTGTGTGTGACTGGGATAAGTACTCCTGGTTTCTGTCCT